ATATATATATATTTCAACTTTGGTTGAAGCTGAACTGAAAATGTAAAGACTAAGTTGAGTTCAGTTTATTCTGAATGCTGAATTGTGGTATTTGAACTGGTTTCAGGCTGGACTGATCCTGGATCATGGAGTAAAGACCACCCAGGCCAACGACAGGGACAAGAGACCATTTCTGTCTCTGATTGGAGCCAGGTCAGACCCTGGAAACATCTTTACTCAAAGAAATAGCCTGGATGGTTTAACAGCCAAAGTCAGGGAAAGGTCATGTAAGGGTAAAGGAAAGGTCACTTAAAGGTCAAGTAAAAGTCAAGGGACGGTCATGTAACTGTCATATGAAGGTCAAGGAAAGGTCATGTAACTGTCATGTAAAGGTCAAAGGTATAATCTGAAGGTAGGGACCAGGGATGTCCCTCATGTTAGTGAATATTTGTCATCCAAACCAGAACTTCACATTCATCTTTTATTTTAGCTAACATGACATTTTTGTTTTGATTTTCAGAAGATTCATATTTCTGGTTAATCTTTACAACCTCGCAGGTACAGCCCACACCTGGATGCAGATCCTTTCAAACCCAGAGTCCCGGCTCTGGTCCATCACTTTGTGGCCTACAAAAACCAGGACCATGGAGCCTGGCTGAGAGGAGGAGATGTCTGGCTCGATGACTGCCAGTAAGTTCAGCATGCCTGTTCAGTTATTTTTGCTGCAGTTGAGTGACACTAAAATTCCTGAATGTTCCTAAATTTTTCTGAACATTTCTGGTGCTTCAAACTGTTGATGTTTTTTTTCTACTGTAGATTTGCTGATAATGGCATTGGCCTAACGCTCGCCAGGTAAGATTCTTCCAAAGCCAAACCTGTTCAAGCCTCAGAATAAAGTAACTGCAATGTTTTATAACAAAATTTGAGTCTTTTCTTATGATAAAAAGTCATTTCTAGATGATAAATCATGTTGAAGTAGAAAGAGTCTGAAATCATCTGCAGCTTCAGCCGTTTTTGGACTACTTCTGACACATTTATCTGTTGGGTTGTTGTTGTTGTCGTGTTGACATTCCTGTTTCTCCTGATTCTGGTTTCAGTTTGAATTAAATACATCATCTCTACTCCACAGTGGAGGAACGTTCCCGGATGATGACGGCTCCCATCAGCAGGTGAAGAACTCTCTGTTTGTGGGGGAAAGTGACAATCATGGGATGCCATTTCCAGACAACAGAATCTGGGGCCCAGGAGGTTCTGACCCATCTGGCAGGACACTACCTCGTGGCGTGTGAGTGTTGGACTCTGAAAGTGTCTGTTTTCAGACGAGGAACAGTGAATACATGAGTGTTTGTTTGCAGGGATTTTCCAATCCGAGGAATGCAGATCTATGACGGGCCCATCCGTGTCCAAAACTGTACATTTCGTAAATACACGGCCCTGGAAGGCCGGCACACCAGCGCCTTTGGCTTCAGGCTCAACAACACGTGGCAGAGCTGCCCGAACAACAACGTAACTCAAATCATCTTTGATCGGGTTCCTGTAAGTCTGTCATCCCAAAGAAACAAATTCTGCAGGATCTTTTGTAGCATCTGGAAGATCTGGTGACTTCAGCACCAGATCCAAATCCAAAGGGTCAGAAGTTTGGATCATATCACCACCTCTTTATGACAAACTCTTTATTTGACCAACTTTATATTAAATTAGATAACTTATTCAGAGAATCAATGTTAAAGTCTCCTGTCTCCAGTCTGGACCAGTCCAGTCTGGATCTGTCTCTAGTCTAGATCCATCTCGTGGCAAGAACACTTTGGACCCTAACCTATGAACAGTTTTACAGGGACACTGTGGACAAGAAGACAGGGACAGGTTGGGTCGGAGAGATTCAGTGTTGTGCTCAAAGATGTGCTGTCTCACTTCAGGGTTCTGATTGGAGGACAGACAGTCCTCCACTGGACCAAAGTTGCATTAGTAAGATATTTCTCACTTTGCCACAGATCACATCTCGGGTATTCTTTGGGGAGCCAGGCCCCTGGTTCAGTAAAATGCAGATGGATGGAGACAAGACAACCATTTTTCACGATGTTGACGGCTCAGTCAGTGAGTACCCTGGAGCCTTTCTGGTGAAGGAGGACAACTGGCTGCTTCGACACCCTGACTGCATTGATGTGCCAGACTGGAAGGCTGCTATCTGCAGTGGCCACTATGCACAGGTGGGTTAGCCCCTGGTCACTCATTCAGTTTCACAAACATCTCTCACTGGAGCATCCAACTTTGTTCCATTCTGTGGTCATGACTCTAGCGTACTGATGTTCAAAAAGATCTGATCCACATGGGACCACTTGAGATGGATGGAAGTCCCTTGGTTGAGTTTTATGTAATCCTTCTCTTTTTATGTCTGTTTTCTTCAGATCTACATCCAGATCCGACACCCTGCCAGTTTGAACCTACACATAGTCCGGGATGAGTATCCTGACTGGCCCCTAACTCTGGAAGGAGCTCTTGGAAAGAAGAAACACTACCAGCAGTTTCAGCCTGTGGTCAGTCTGGCCAAAGGCTACACACTTCACTGGGACCAAGCAGCACCTGCAGAGGTCACCATCTGGCTCATCAACTTCAACAAGTCAGTAGACCAGACCATAAATGTTTTGTCCCAAGATCCAGGTCCTGGTCTTTTTATAAAGAGGAACCAGGACTCAGATTCAGAGTGAGACAAATAAAAGTTTGGGAGGTTATGTCAAACATTTAATTATTTATTTTTACTAGTAGCACATTTTTTAAAGTTCTGTCAGGTGTGGGCTTCAAGTTTTTAGAAAATGACACGAAGTGAACTGAAGACATGAAATTGCTTTTAAAAACAGATTTTCTTTGTCAACACTCAGTGGATGTGCAGCTCCTCCCTTTGGACAGGCTGACTCTTTAAACCACACGATGGCTGCTTGTGATTCCAAGCATCTTTGAGTTTAACTGCATGGTCTGACTTRTGTCTAATGACACTGACTGACCTTATCGACAACACAAACACCTGGAGGCTGAGTCTGAAATCTGACTCGCTCTCTTTTAAATGTGAAAAAAAAAAAAAACGGTTGTTTTATCTGAAGGACGGAAAAACAGACTGAGAAAACAAAAAACACTCCAATCTGATCAAATAAAATACAAAGAAATCATTATGTTTATTTTGTTTGTAACTTAGCAATGCACATAAAAACATACACAGGAAATGTACTCAGGTTAAGGTAAGAAGGAAATAACTGAAGATAAAAGTAATTATCTGGTTAAAATAAGAGAGGAATTAAACTGTGGTGTTACAGACAGAGAGGGTGATCCAGATTGTCCATGATATCCATGACCACCTCATAAGTGTCTTGTTTTGCAGCTGATAATAGAGCCAACCAAACGAACAACAACCGACTGGCTGACCAATCAATCGACCAAACAACCAAACAACAATGGACCAACTGACCGACTGACCAATCAACCAACCAAACGAACAACAACCGACTGGCTGACCAATCGATCGACCAACCAAACAAACAACGATGGACCAACTGACTGACTGACCAATCAACCAACCAAACGAACAATGACCGACAGACTGACCGATTGATCAATCAACCAAACCAGCCCAACTAACAACAACTGACCGGCTGACTGACTGACCTGACCAGTTGATTGGGGCGGCTGTGGTGGAGTGGATAGGGGAGTCGTCCTGGAACCAGAAGGCCCATCAGAATTTTGTGGCGGTTTAGCCCAGTTAGGACTTCAACCTGTGTGCTTAGAGTTTTCTTTATCAGGACAATGAGAGCTACAACAGGCTCTGGTCCTTTGAAGTGAGCCTGACTGACAGCTTTTGTAAGGTAGTCAGCTCTCTGGTTAGCATTAATGCCAGTATGTCCTGGTACCCATTGAACAGTAACACTGTTGTATCTCCCCAGTTGTTTGATGGCTTCTGCACACTCCCAAGCCAGCCTCAGCAAGGTAGTGTTAGGCTAACCCTGACTCATTCCAGTCCAGTCTGCAGGTGATACATCTCCTCTCCTTTGATGTACAGTGGTTGTGAAGGACTCCCTCCCTTTCTTATTTATGTATTAACCTTTATTTAACCAGGCAAAGCACATTGAGATCACAGATCTCCTTTGCAAAGGCAGCCTGGGCCTGAAGGTAATCAGTTGTACAAGTTTTTGGTCTGTGGGGGAAAATGAAGTACCCAAAGAAAACCAATGCAAGCACGAGGAGAATATTCAAACTCCACACAGAAAGACCCCAGGTCCGAACCAGGGATCAAACCCAGGACCTTCTTGTTGTAAGGCATCAATGTTAACCATTAAGCCATCTTGCTTCTTAAAGTCAACCATCTCCTTGATCTTGAAAACATTTAGCTCAGGTGGTTTTGCCTCGCCACCTCCATATAGCTGTCCACCAATCTAATTCCCCTCCATCTCAATCACACCCAACCACTGCTGATTCATCAGAGAGTTTCTGAAGATGGCGTGATTCAGACCTTCACCGGAAATGATGGATGGATGGATGGATGGATGGATGGATGGATGGATGGATAGATGGATGGATGGATGGTCCCCTGCAGAGCACCAGTTATTCACTGAAAGAATGAGAGGAAACTGCCCATGTGGACTAACTGTGGCCTGTCAGGTAGTCAATAATCCAGGAAACAGTAGTCTTTGACATCAATCAATAAATCAATCAATGATTGAATTCAACATGTTTTGTTTACATTACTTTTGTTTGTTTGTTTGTTTGGTCTCAGAAATGACTGGATCAGCTTGGGCCTCTGCTACCCACAAGGTACCAACTTCACCATCATCGCTGACATCCATGACCGTCTGACCAAACAGACCCGTAAGACTGGGGTCTTCATGAGGACCAACCAGAGGGAGAAGATCAACCACTCCCATCTGAGCCGAGGATACTACTACTGGGAGGAAGAAACCGGGTCAGAACCAAACTAAAGTCCAGATTAAAACAGTTCAGAGTAAAAGTCCAGTACTGTACATTACTGAGTCTGACAGATTCTAGCTGCCCAAATGCTCAAACAACTCATCTGAGTCAATTCAATTCAGTTTACGTATACAGCGCCAAATCACAACAACTATTGTAAATGGTAAATGGACTGTACTTGTATAGCACTTTGCTACCCAACCAGGACACTCAAAGCTCTTCACMCTACAATCTGTGTCCTCATTTATCCATTCACACAGCACTCTGTTAGGTCTCTACAAAGCTAACATGTTCAATCATCTATGGAGACAAATCAGTGCCAATCACATCCATACACTGATGGGACACATCAGAGGCATTAGGGCTGAAGTGTCTTGCCCAAGGACACAACAACTGAGACAGCTGGACGGGGGATCGAACTGGTGACCTCCCGGTTCCAGAACGACTCCCCTAACCACTCTGCCACAGCCACCCCAGATCACTGTACACACACACAAAAAAAAAAAAACAATAAGTCTAAAGAAGTCAGCAGACTGTGCCAAATCTTCACTACATCACAGTCTCATATCCTGAGCAGCATATTGGTGACAGTGGAGAGGAAAAACTCCCTATTAACAGGAAGAAACCTCCAGCAGAACCAGAACCAGACTCAGGACAGGCGGCCATCTGCCTCGACCYGCTGGATTGGAGGAAAGGAAAGAGACACAGACAAACACAGAAGAACTGGTCCAAAAAATATCAACTAAATCCTGAAAAAGTAATTTTTTCCCAACAACCAACCTGTATGTTATGGAGGACCAAAACTGCCATGATTAGAAATAAAAGCAGAAATATACGAATGGCACAATAAATAAATAAATAAATAGACACACTTAAAATGCACAAACCTATTTTAAAAAGTAGAACTTTATCTTATGTTTTATCATTGACTTGACCTTCATATTTATTTTTCCAGCTTTTAATTGTCAGTTTTGGTCCTCCGTACGATATAGCTTTAAGACACTGAGTTGCTGCCATGTGACTGGCTTATTAGTTATTTGTAATAAACAGGTGGACCAAAGAAAATGGTAGACATGAGCTAGATGAAACATTAAAAGAATCATTTATAAGTTACAAAATCAGCGAGGGCTTAAAAATAGTTTTCTCTGTTATCACTGAAACACATCTGTCTAAACATCTGTCCAAACATGGAAAACATTTGTTCAGAAACATCTGTGCAAACTCAGGTAAAAACTAGAGAGCAGGAAACATTGTGTTAACAGCAGCAAATGTTCCTTCTTCACAGACCAACAGTCCACTGTGGCTTCAGTCATAGTCTCAACAGACACGTGAAGTCTAAGGTCTTATGATCAGATCGGTGTTTCTCATGTCTGCTGTTGTCTCATGTGTCCTGCAGCTTGCTCTTTCTGAAGATTACAGCCCATAATGTCAGGGAACAGTTTGCCTTCTGCTCTGTGAAAGGATGTGAGAGGATCAAGATCACAGCCAGCATCCCAGCAGGAAGRCCTCCCAGTAACTGTCTTATCAGGACCTACCCCCGACATGCTGAGCTGCCAGTGGTGGACGTCCCCATGCCCAGGAAGATGCCCACCTCCAGGCTGGTGAGTACTTCATCTGTCCATCCGTCCAGCTGTCTGTCTGTCTATTTATCCTTCTGTGAGTGTCTGYTGGTCAAGCCTTGGTTCATAGGACTCATAGGGCCAAGCCTGAAAAAACTACAGGAAGCTTCTCAAGGTGGGTCCCCCTTCTTGTTGGGGGAATAAAGATTGGGTGCAGAGGGGGTGGGGTCTACTGGTGTCATAAACTGGGTTTTGGATTGTGAAAGGGACTCCACAAAAAAATGGGGGTAGAAGTGGAGAACACTGACCCCTGAAGACTAACAGTTTGGTTGGACAGGTAGGACCTGAACCAATTCAAGGCAACACCCCTGATTCCCACCCACTGGTCCAGACGAGCTAACAGAACGTCATGGTCCACAGTGTCAAAAAGCAGCTGTTAGGTCTAAAAGRACAAGGATGACACAGTCACCGGAGTCAGTAGCTAAAAGAAAARCATTCAAAATGTTTAAAAGAGCTGACTCAGTGCTGTGGAGAGTTTTAAAACCAGAATGGAAAACTTTGAGAATAAATGCTCTTGAAGAAAAACCAAGTAACTGACTGTGCACAAGTTTCTCAAGGACTTTGGAGATAACAGAYCATTTAGAAGTTGGCCTAAAATGAGCTAAATTAGTGGTGCCTAGTCCAGGTTTTTTGTTAAGAGGTTGCACCACTGCATGTTTAAAATGATCAGGGACCACACCAGAGGAAAGACCACTATTGACGAGTTCGAGACAATTGGTTCTAGGGTGGGGAAACCTCTTTGAAGAGTCGAGGAGGGACAGCTTTGTTGGGAGAACCTGCAGGCTTCAGATAGATCTAATCTCCTGAAGAGAAGACAGAGATTAAGACATTCCTTAGCTTTTCTGTGTTTTCTCATGATTAAAGATGTTCTTTTCCTAACGGAGGGAAATCTCAGGTTCTGTGCTCAGCTGGGAGCCAGTAAAAATATTCCTGGTCTCTGTAGAATTCATCAGGAAACACAGTCGGTCTTCAGCTTTAAGCTCCGTGTTTTCTCTGGAAACCTGCAGTGGAGGAAAACATTTCAGTGTTTGCTTGGAGTCGCTTCACATTCAGAACCGGTCCAAGCAAGTGGACCTGAATGAGTTCGCCCTGAGTCCAGTCACTGCAGGGTTCAGGACCGGGTCTGAGCGGCCCAGTTGGATAAATTCTGATGAATTCTGTTCCTGTTTGTTTCTCCTCAGAACTCAGCAGAGCACTTCCTAGAGGTCAAACTGGACTCATACAGCTCTCGTTTCTTCCATATTAAAGAGGACTTCGCCTTCACTGAGGTATTACACAGCTTAACGCCAACACAAAACCTAATTATATTTCATGTGTTTTAAAGTTGATTCATATCAAATGGTTATTTAAAACTTTACATCCTTAAAACTTACAAGTGAAAGAGTAAACAGTGATTTATCATCATTCCCTGAGAAAATATTTGGTACAGACCCCTCACTGCTCTGTTGTTGGATATATCAGCTGCAGTTTGGGGTCCAGCTGCTGAACTCAGATGATAATAATAATAATGCATTAGTTTTATATAGCGCTTTTCGAGACCCTCAAAGACACTTTACAATTTTTCATGCATCATTCATTCACTCACATTCACACACTGATGGCAGTAAGCTACATTGTAGCCACAGCTGCCCTGGGGCAGACTGACAYAGGTGGGGCTGCCATGCTGCGCCACCGGCCCCTCTGACCACCATCAGTAGGCATGGCGGGGAGTCGAACCTGTGACTTGCGGGGTCCCAAAGCCGGCTGCTCTACCACTACACCACAGCCGCCCCATCTCTTTCAAGAGATACAACCATCTCTTGAAAATGCCCTTTTTATTGGCTGGCAGGTTGGAATCATAGGAACCTGTGTTGATTTAKAGGAAAACTACCCAGAATTCCATTTGTCATCTTCTTGTGTATTCCTGGGGCAGCACTGTGGTGCAGTGAAAACGTTATTTTCTGCCCTACCCCTCATCCTAACTCAACATTTTAGGATAATAAAGAATTAGTTAATAAAATGACCTGATTATTGTTARTGTTACTAACCTAACCTCCAGGTGTGAGCTTGGTGAGCTCATTTTTCAAACTCAGAATCTTTATTGTACAAAATAATATCCAGTCCTGTTCAATGCAAAGAATTCGTGTTAAATAGACCCATAGCTTTCAAAAGTTCTACTACTGAAACACTATCCATGTTTCCATCAAGGTTTTTTAATGTGCATGTTGAATCACATCAGGAAAGCTGAATGGAAACGGCTCGATTCAAAAAAACTACCTCTAATTCACATAAAGTTGATACGCTCGCTTGAGGTGGTTTTTGGGTTTTTCAAAAAAGAGTTAATGCTCAAAAGGAGAGATGGAAACACATTTGTCGAATCAGTTCTGACGTAGTGAACAGTTACCTCACATGTTTGATCAGCTGTTCTCTCTGTCTGAATGGTACCGGTACCAGAGTGACTGCAGCTGGACCCTCCTCCAGCTGTCGGTGTATTCTCAGTTATTCCTGTAACATGAAGAGAATCACATTTCTTTCTCTACGTCTGCAGACAGCAGGAACATCACCAGAACTAGTTGATATAACAGAATAAAAACATCTTTCCTGATAGCAGCAACATGTTCCTGATAACTTCTCTCCATGGTCCTGAGATGTGTGGACCTGCCAGTTTGTGACTTTTACTTCCTGTTTACTACACACATGCATCTGACGTAACTGATTCACTTCAAGCCAGTTGATGGAAACACGTCTGATTCGCATTTCTTCGTTTTTTCCTTTTTGCAAAATTTAAAGTTTGCTCAAAATTTGAATTCAAATTGGATGTAAACACGGCCTCAGGCAGGGTTAATAATTCTCCCCACACATCTTCTGACACTTATCCAAAGTTGGGTTTCATTGAGAACGTTTTCTGAGTCACTGAACAGTGTACCAGAACCTCCTCAAGTCCAACCCAAAATCCTTCTCCATGGCCTCCCCAAATTCCCCCCATGCCTGAGTTTTTGCATCTGCAACCACCAAAGCTGATAGATACCCTCTTTGCCACCCTGTACCTGTCAGCTGCTTCGGGAGTCCTCAGAGAAAGCCAAGTCTGGACGACTTCCTTCTTCAGCCTGATGGCCTTCATTACTGCTGGTCTGCTGCGACAGACACCAATAACCTTCAGATCACAGCTCCTAGAAGAKGCATCTGCAATGGAGGTCCTGAACATGGCCCATTCAGATTCCATGTCCCCGACCTCCACRGGGACATGTGGAAAACTGTCCTGGAGGTGAGAGCTGAAGATCACAAAGAGAGGGGGCTCCACCAAACCTTTCTGGCAGCTTTCCCCACCATTGGACCCAACTCACCACCAGGTGGTGATCAGTTGTTGGCTCCGCCCCTCTCTTTACCTGAGTGTCCAAGACATAAAGCTGCAGGTCTGATGGCACGATTACAAAATCTATTTGGCCTAAGGTGGCCTAGTACCAAGTACACTTATGGACCACCCTATGCTCAAACATAGTGTTCGTTATGGACAACCCATGCTTAGCACAGAAGTCCAATAACAGAACACCATTTGGGTTCAGATCAGGGAGGCTGTTCCCCCAAATTGCCCCCTTCTAGATATGCACATTGAAGTCACCCAGTAGAACAAGGGAGTAAGACGACACCCCTTCCAGGACACCATCCAAAGACTCTAAAAATACTGGGCAATCTGAACTGATGCTCGGTGCATAAGCACAAAAACATCAGAACCTTCCCTCCTGCAGCACAGAGCCACAGACCGGCAACCTTCTCCTTCACCAGGGTGAACTCCAACACTGAGGCACACAGCCGGGGGCTTGTGGATATCCCCACACCCGCCCGCCGCCTCTCTCCCTGGGCAACTCCAGAATAGCAGAGAGTCCAGTTCCACTCCAGGAGTTGGGTTCCAAAGCCCAACTGTATCTAGTTAACACTCAACCTCACCCACATCTCCAGCTCCTTACCCGCAAGTGAGCTTACATTCCACGTCCCTAGAGCTGCCAGGAATCGGCACAGCCAGGGACCCWCCCTTGCCTGCTGCCCAACATGCACTGCACCCGACCATGATGGTCCTCRCTGRGGATGGTGGGTCTATGTGGAGGTGGCCTCCTGTAGTCCTTTTGGGCTTGGCCTGGCTAAGCCCCAGGAACCAAGGTTCAACCACTGGAAGCACACTGGCGAGCCCTCACCCCACCGCACTCTACCCCACCCCAGTACCTGGGTCCAGGGAGGTGCCCCAGTTTCCCTTTTCCAGTTGAGTTTTCCAGATTTGGTTGCAGTTCCATTTCATCAAGGGTTCTGAACTGCTCTAAGTCTGACCCCTGCCCACCCCACCCCCAATGCCCTAGACAACAGAACCCCAGGGTCACAGCGGTACTCAAACCCTTCCACCACATTAAGGTGGCGATTCTGCAGAAGGGAGGTTAATAATTTTTTTTCAATTAAACTATATTCTCTTTAGTTTGTGTCAATCTCTACCCCCAGCTTTATTTATGGTTGAGTTTTATGTAAAATGTTGTCTTTGACATATTAGATCTTCTGAGGAGCATCAGAGATGGCTCACTCAACAAAACTCTTTAACTGAAAGCATTTGTTTTTTCAGGTGAACGGCAGGAAGTTAGTCCAAGCAGAAGATGGAGTGGAGCTGACAATAATAGATGGATTCAATGGAAATATTGTGGAGACCAAAGGTTTCAGGAGCTCCATCTTACAGGGGATCCCTGCACAGATCCAGAATTATGTCCATGGACTAAAAGACGGGTGAGCAGCAGCTCCTCTGCTCTCTCAGATACTGTTGGATATCAGTAGATACTGTTAGTATCTACTGATATCRAACAGTATCTYACAGMTATCAGTAGATACAGTCAGGGTTTCAAGCTCATCATAGCACAGAAACAGCACTGGTGAAAGTTATTAATTATGGGGGTTGGACAATGAAACTGAAACACCTTATCATTTTAGTGTGGGAGGTTTCATGGCTAAACTGGACCAATGGTGGCCAGTCTTCATTAACTGCACATTGCACCAGTAAGAGCAGAGTGTGAAGGGTCAATTAGCAGGGTAAGAGCACGGTTTGGCTCAAAATATTGCAATGCACACAACATTTTATGTGACATACAGAGTTCAAAAGAGGACAAAGTGTTGGAGCATCTGTGACCAAGACAGCAAGTCTTTGTGATGCATCAAGAGCCACAGTATCCAGGGTAATGTCAGCAGACCACCAAGAAGGACCAACCACATCCAACAGGATTAACTGTGGACYCAACAGGAAGCTGTCTGAAAGGATGTTCTGGTCTAAAACCAGATGTTTCACTTTCATTGTCTAACCTTTATAATCTCATAGACTTAGACAGTAGACTTGTAAAAAACAGTCTTGTTTTCCAGTATTTAGACAGATCCTGAACGTTGTTGAACACATAAAGCCAGACCAACAGAAGTACTGTTGTGTTTCCACCAGGTCCATCGTCCTCATGACATCTAAAGGCCGTGTGGTTACCAGAGGTCCCTGGACCAAAGTTTTGGYGGAACTTGGTGCAAACAAAAACATTAAATTAAAAGGTAAATATTTTTCCACTAATTACTTTAATAAGTATGCTTGGAGTAGTCTTGTGGTCGTTTATCTTTAAGATGATTTGTGATCTGTAGTGAGAATAGGGAGAAGGTGGAAGACAGCATGGAGAGGTGAAGCTATGCTCTGCGGACAGTACAGGAGAAGCTGGACACAGAGATAAAGATGAACTCTGTTATATTATGGAATTGATATTTGATACTTGAATGTGATTTATACGTTTATATTTGTTCCAGATAAGATGGTGTTTGTCGGCTTTAAAGGCTCCTTCCAACCAGACTGGGTCAAACTGGAAGTCAGTGATGAGCAGGCCAAGATCCATCAGGTTCTGAGTGTTCCTGTGCTGCACAAGATGAAGCTGTGAACAGCAGGTCAAAGGTCAGGTGTCAGCAAAATCTGTGCCAAGGTTACAGACAGTTTTTAAAACATGGACCTGACCCAGAACTGAAGACAGGCTTCTTATCACATGAATAAGATTCAGAGCAAAAGTTTATATATATGTAAATATATAGAGATTCCCCACTCTTCAGTCACATGTGGAAGTGTCCCTGAACAAGACACTGACCCCCCCCSSCCCCCCCCCCCATCAGTGTATGAGTGGGACCTAAAGCACTGATTTGTCTCCACAGGTGATTCCTGTTAGCTTTGTAGAGACATGACACAGTGCTGAGTGGATGTGTGTGTGAAGATGTGTGGAAGCTGGTATTTCCTACTATGTGGGGACCATGTGGTACCTATAAGGACCTAAGCCTAGTCCCCATGTGGGGGGGGGGGGGGGGGTCTGCAGAAACCTGTGAGGTTAGGGTCAGGGCTAGGCTGTAGAAATGAATGGAAGTCAGTGTAATGGCTCCATAAAACTGTGTGTGTGTGTGTGTGTGTGTGGACGGGTTTTTCCTACAACGTGGGGACAATTTTCCCAAAAAAATCAGCCTCATGGGGACCACTGTCAGGTCCCCACWGTCCAAATGTTAATTCCAGGTGTGGGGTRAGGTTTAGGACCAAGGTTTAGGTTAGTTTAGGGTCAGGTAAGTTTCTGWGAGGTTAATMTTWGAGTATATGGTCAGGGTTAGGATATAAAGTCTAAAAAACATGAATGGAAGTCAATGGAAGGTCCCCACGGGGTCGAGAAACAAACGTGTGTGTGTGTGTGTGTGTGTGTAAATGAGGACAGATTATAAAGAGCTTGCAGTACTCTGTTGGACAGAAGGTGCTGTATTAACTTTTATATTTAATTCAGTGACATGAAAGGAAATCATCTTTAATGTTTGTGTTTCTGAACATAAAGAATCATGTGACCTGAAGATTAAAGAGAAATATTGTGTCAAACAAACAGAAACTCGTTCAGGAAACAGAAAGAGGTTAAAAAGTTTTAAATGTTTCCTGAAGTCGGTCCATCTGAAGCACTTTGACTTCCTTCCCTGTTTGTTAGGAAACTGCTTTAATCAGTTTGTGTTTTTCTTGGTTTTACAGTGAAACTATTTACGAAATGTTTCTTTTTAAAAACTGTTTTATTGTAAAGTTGAGGAAATATTACAATTTTTTTATATTTTTTTTAAATGCAGGATTTCTCATTTTCTGAACTGGTTTAAGTTGTGGAGGGCTGCAC